TGATGATTAGATCGAGGCTACTAAAATCTGAGATTAAATCATTATTAAAGATTAAAATTCTGAAAAGGAGCTATGATCTTCAAGGAATAGGAAAAAATGGCTAAATTATACATAGAACATGTCAGTTACATCGCCTACTAGCTTGTGCTGACAGAATGTATGGTAAATAATATAGCCAAGTTTTTCGTGATTCAAGCGAGTAAATTTAGGACAAATTCCCTCAACAGACGGAGGTATACATTATCATAGCTCTGGACTTCAGCTCGACCTAATTTTAAAGCTCTGACCGTTGTGGACATTTTGGTAAGCAGGTGATGACAAATAGCATGACTCAGTGTTGAGACAAGCGGTTTGTCGCATGAGTCAACAGGCTAAGAGGAGCCAAATCGAGTATGTTTGTCATGAAACTTGTGAAAATATCAGAATTTTGAGTGTTTTGTTGGAAATTTCAATGTTTCCTTAAGTACAAAAGAGGTGATGACAAGGCTTAAGGGTGTCCGGCAATTCACTTTGACGAGACAAAGAGCTGTCATCGTCAATGGTGATGTAGACCAGTCGAACTGCAAGCTGGAAGGGTCTCTTTAGAAGGAAGCTTGAGCAGTGAGAGTATAATGAGCCTGTGGGTCGCAATTGTTCCTGCTTTTATACGACGACTGCTGCTCTGTGCAGAACATCCTTCTCGGTCAAGAGCTGCAGTAGTGACGGCAAGCTTGTCAGATCAAATACATACAACAACATTAGACTAGCCCTCTTACCGGCGAGGCCACTTTGGGTCAATTTTCCCATACCACCAGGAGTCTGGCTCTTGTTTAGAGCGGCTCCCAAGAGCAAGAATGACTTCGCACCGGCTGGATCTGGCTTGGTCGGGCCACCGAAGAGACCGGAGTCGGTCATAGCGCTGGAGGTGACAACGGCCGTCGTAGTTGCCATCTTGACTGGCAGAGGGTGCTTTAGGTCGAAACCGAGGTTGCGAATCATCTCGATGAGCTCACGAATTCGAGCCGAGGCCTCGGTCTGGATGCGAACATACCTGCCAACAAGAGGGTGAAAGCAAAACTGTATCACAACGGTGAGGGTGATGTAGACAGGTTAAAGTTAATGCTACGAGTCAGAGTAGGAGCTTCACAACCGAAGGCAGTCAATGAGTAGCGAAGTATGAAGCCGAAATCAACATGAATTAGGCGAAACGCAAAAGATTAGAAGCACATTTCAATTGCGGCGCAAAAAACCCTGGCTTGAGGAAGCATCTAACATGTTGAAAAGACCATAGCATCACCTCACTTTGCTGACTATCGGTGAGTGAAGGTTGAGGATGGGCGTACTCGTTGGAGCGTCTGCCAAATGGCAGAGAGTTTAGATCACTCCTGAATTGCTGCTCCACTTAGCGCTAGTGGAAGACAGCGAAAATATCGCTTCGTCTACTCTGTGATGACGCTACAATCAATAGAAGAAGCAATATGTCGTCTTTCTAGGCGCTACTCTGTTGTAGGTGCCTAGAGAGTGCAATTTACTTGACGACTAGTCTGAAGGCCCGTTCTACGAATACCTCGACGAAGTAGAATGATACCGAGAGAGCAGGCCCGGGATCAGAAGAGAGAGAAAGATAGTCCACTATTGCGAGTGTGAGGCTGCCTGTGTGTCTCTGTCTAAGGGTGGAGTGTAACATGTGCTAATCCAGAGAGGATTGACAGGTTTGTTTTCGTCTGTTTCTATGGTTGAGCCAACAAATATCTCGAGCAGGCAGGCTTCTGGCTGGCTCTTCACCCGTCAGGCGGAGCAACTCACTCTTCAGGCGTCAGCAGTCTACCTTAACAACAACACAAGTGCTTGTTCACTTTTGAGCCGCTCGAAATGGCGTCTCCACACCGAGGCCGGTGAAAAGCAGTCTTCAAGACGAGAGAGAGTAGAAAATGTTAGTATTCTCTAGCTGTCTTGGAGAAGAAGGATGCTGTATCTCAGGGCGGTCGAGATGAAGCAGAGAAGTGTGAGCTGCCCTGGCAACAGTTCGATGTGAAAAGTTCTGGGAATGCTACAAAATGGGTAAGGCTTTTTTCCAATTCTGACAGAAAAGTGAGATGAACCAAGGTTGGCAGGTGGCTCAAACAGCCTTCAAACAAGGGGCCAAGAGGAAGAAGGAATAAGCGTGACAAGGGTGTGTGATAAAAAACTAAATTGACGAGTAACCGTTTTTCCCAAAATCATATAAACAGGTTCCATGATGTCATTCTATTTCATTTAGTCTTGCTACTAAAAGAGCACGTATTCTCCTCCAGACTGGATCGTATTTTTCACCTCGCCTGGGTCACATCACCATCAAAGACAGGAATAGAACCCGGGTAATGCCATGCATACTTTCTTCTTTATACCACAATACTCTAGATCTAGACGGTCATGGGGCAGAAGTAAACGACTGTAAGACAAGTCAAGCCTCTTCCATCCACAATTGCACGGTAGAATTGTCGCTGAAGCAAACATATATTTGCCAATACAGTCAACAACGTCACTTGTATTCGTAATGAATAGTAATTCAAAACTATCAAAAGATTTCGAACAAGTGGTCACCTAATTCCAAAACATACACAGACCACGGGCCAAATGATGGGCTACAAAATAGTTTGAACGAATGTCGAGGTGTATGTGGCCTTGGACCCCCGGACTGTTTTTGTACACAGCCATTTCCGGTTGTCACATTCGGTGACGGGCCTCCTCCTATACCTACTACACAGTTGTAGCTCCTGCCGTTGGAAAGACGATTGACACCATGACTACACGAGACGGAATGCACCACAGTCGTTAAGATGATCGGGAAGTTTTCAACAGCGAATGTGATAGCGCTTTTTCAGTCCATTAAACTGACCATCCGTTCACATTTCAAGGCCTCCTTCATTCTCAAACAGAATCAGGAATTAACAGTCTTGCGGTCAGAAGTTATAAATTTGTATATATATACTGGATAACCCAGTAAATCCCCTTCATACTTTGGCTTGAAATGCTTGTAAGAATGATACCTTACAGTTGACAGA